AGTGGGCAAAATAAAAAACTAAAAGAAAAACTAACTGGGTTCGTTTTAAGCACGCTTTAAAACCATTAACCCGCCCTTTACCAACCTTCTTTATTGGGCTCTTTAACATATTACTAGCTAACGTTTTTAGGATTTAGGTTGTAAATATCAAGAAAAACACATTTTCAGCTCTAGACTTTCGTATTAGTAGAACGATAGCATTAGCATATACATTGTTGCCACTCCATACAAGACAAAAGTTGTCCAATAAATGAAACAATTAATAGTTAATTTCGTTGTATTTTCACTTAGAAACATTTCTGTCATATGTTTGGTCTGAACAATCATTACACTTGATAATTAGTTCTTGTTGGTATTTACGATAGACTAGATTTTTCTACATCAGCATATGATTACAATTTATTTGTGGTTTTCCTTTGTGCAAAGAATACGTCTCTGATATAATGTTATTTATTTTCTCTTCTTGGTTCATTCCTACCTTCCTGTATTACCTGTACCAGAGAATTTGTTCAAACGAGAACTGTGATGTTAAATTAAAACCAATATCTAGTAGTCCAAGCCAAGATGATACAATTATAGGATTTAGCGTTTAAGGCCATGGCCACATAGGTTTTAATAAAAGTCAAAGTAAATGGAATCTAATTATTTTTATTGTTAAGAGTAATATAAGGTACCTCGGTGGACGAATGGTTAGGGGGGGTCCGACTAATATTCGCTAAGCTCAAGGTTCGCTTAAGTGCAACCGTCAGGTGTTGGTTTTTTTGTTTCTTCAATTTAATGCCGAGTGTACGAGTCGGCAATTAGATCTAAATGTTGGTGAATGTAGAACGATGAAACTGGTAAAATCGTAGATGTAAACAAGATCGTCGTGTCGCGCGCGTAAGTTTTGTGTTAGTATGTATATGACAGCGGCTTAGGTTGTGTCCAGTAGTATATCGGTAGTTCCGATTCGTGGATGTTTATAGCAATGTTGTTTTTGTGCCTAAAAATAATTTGTTTTCGTCTAATTTCATCTTCGGTCATTTCCTATGTTTCCATGAGCTTGAAGTGTTCCGAAATATCAGCCGTGGCTTGTATTGTATTCGTGTATATAATTCTGCCGTATAGGTTGGCAGGCTAGGGTGGGAGAGATTTTGAAGTTCCGCTGTGTAAATATTGAAACGAATAGAAAGTTAATGCTCCTTGTTGGACGCCAGGTTGGCTTGGTTCCTCTTCATTCTAAAGCAGAAATCGATTCGGTAGAAAATTGTCGCATAGACTGTCGAACGCTGGGGTCATGTCAAAGAAGGATCGGGAAGCAGTCCTTATTATATAAGGTCATTAGGGCATACAACTGTAAAACTTGTCGTTTTGGAGAATGCCAAAGACGGAAAACGAATTGATGTGTAAAACGATGAAAGGTATTAGGCGATTTTAACCTTTAGAAGATTCTTTCAATTAATTAAGGTTTTTAGTTGAGATAAAAAAGTCAGTGTAGGGAGCGGGTTTCGAACCCACGATCTTCGGCTAGATACGCCGATATTCTACCACTTGAGCTTTCGTGGCCTCGATCCACTCGGGCACTAACTTCCCATCTCAACACCCCAGTCGAGGTCACGATAGCTCAAGTGGTAGAGCAGCGGCGTATCCAGCCGAAGATCGTGGGTTCGAATCCCACTCCTGACACTGACTTTTTTATCTCATCTAAAAACTTTAATTAATTGAAAGATATTAATTGGTCAGCGGACCACGAAAACTAGTGATTTTATAAGATTTTAGGAGGACGTATGACTGAGACTTGATTAAGTTTCGGAATGGAGATCATAATGGAATATTTTCATATTAATGGATTGTTAGAGGAACGTATGATTCAGTTGACTATTTTTGTTCTAAAATTACGTCATTCAAGAAAAGGTTTCGGATAGTTGTGGGGTTATGAAATGGTGTATCGGAGATTTCCCGGATGCGACTTGGTGAATATGGAAGTTGACTGGTATCGTCTAGATTGGACGGCGGTATAAAAAGTTATTGAAATTTCATTTGATTGCATTATAGTTTTAAAGTCAATTTTGGAGGTCAGCAGTGTAAATAATTTGTAGCATATTCCCATGAATTAAAACGTCTGGGACGCTGGCTCCTCTCCGACAAATCATTGTCGACCTTACTTCCAAGCAGCGATCAGTTAAGTATGGTTTTTGGATTACGTAATAAAGAATGTGTACAAAGTGCTTTAGTTTGAAGAAAAATTCAATTTTTTTAAATGACTACTGGAACGTTACAAAATTATGGAGATATAAGGATGGTATAGTATATCTGACCCTCAATTTAACCAATTGACGTTTCGATAGTGTTAAACTAATTAAAATGAATTGATCAGTTGGGAACCGCGATCGTCGATTGGTTATCACATATTTGCTACCCTAACTGTTCTGGGTTCCAATCCCGGCCGAGCTCATAACTGTTTAATTGATAATTGTGAGGGGAAAGTATGGTAAAGTGGTTTGACCCGTCGTCCGCTACACGCATTGGGTTGTTGGACGTCAGGAATTTTTAAGATTGATAAATTTAGTTAAGTAAGTTTTAAACGTGCTTTCATTTAAATTATTTTAAGTTATTCTTATTAGCTAAGGAATTCTGGATCCACCGATTTTTCATGCCTACTTTTCTACAATATCACTTGGAAAAATTGAACATTTGCATATTTTAACAAGGATTTGTTCTCATGTTTCAACTCATTCAAACTCCTTAGCTACTAATTTTCATAGTTAGTTTTTTTATGTTGTAATCAACTAACTTGTGTCTCACACGACGTCTGTTGCTAATCGTCACTTTACGCGCCTGTTCCCACGGGTGAAACTTAGTAGTGAATGAGAATTTATGTTACAACTTTGTTTGTCGCTTAACGCGCTAATGTCGTCTTTTAAAGAACAACTAGTTAATCAATATCACGGCCCAGCTGTATTTTAATTCTGCCGATCTCTCTGCACTTAGCGCGATCGATGCCGGCTGCTTTAGCCATTTGACCGAAATATTAATGAAAAAGTTCATCGTTTCAACGCATGATTTCTAAATTAACATAATTCTTAAGAGCTTTAGAACAATATTTAAATATTCGGTTTAGTTGATCAGCGTCCGCATGTCTAGTGGTTCGTATTGGAGTTTCCAAATGTCATCAAGGTAGACGATCTGAAGGTGGTAAGCTTAGGGGATTCATATGAAAGGTCAGTGGTCTTTTGCAGGCCAGGACATGTTAGTCAGGATTAAATTGATATTGTTTCTACTGATATTATGTGAAAGATTCCTTTGCTTGTTTTTTTTTTTTAACTGCTATATAGAAATTACCACTTTTATGTTGCTAGCTTGTTATTTAAGCAAATCTCAAATTAGCTGTTATAATTTTTTTTAACACTTCGAAATTCTACAACATATATTTGGTAGGATCGGGGATGAGGTCCAAAGAATGTTCTGGTGTTGAAGCTGTCGGTGTTTTATTGCACCTTCGACACGGCTCTACAACGGATACATATATATATAACATTTTCTAATTGCTCATTTGTGTAAGTGAAAATCAAAAATTCACTTGCTTTTCCAACTTACAGATTCTCTGTCACTGTTTAGAATTGTTTTCCTTATCAACATGTGCAGATATTTTTTTACTCTTTTTGTCATTTCTTATACTAAATTCAATGTTTTCAATGAATAGATAAATAAATAAATGGCACTTATTTCAAAATTATCAGAGACAAAATCAACGTAAACGAAAATGACTGTGATCCTGAGGAAGGGGAAATAAAAAACCAAAAGCTTGGCGTAGATTCAACACCAGAACATTCTTTGGTTAATTACCGATACAATTAATCGTAATGTAAGGTATTGGATGAGATAAAAACGAGCGGGATTCGAACCCACGACCTTCTGCTAAATACGCCGCTGCTCTACCATTTGAGCTATCGTGACTTCGATCCACTCGGGCACCGCCCATCCATCAAAACCTACCTTTCGAATTTTCCCTCGTTTTTGCCATTTTTCAAATGTCGGGTAATCTATTTGATTCTCGGCGACAAAAATTGTTTTATTTGATCAAACAGCAAATGGGAGTAAACAATTCATTATCAATTTTTTAAATCACGGTTTCAAGTCAAGAAGATTTTGCCCAGGAGTATGTTTTGGGCAAGGACGGATTAGTGTCATAACAGAACATGCCTCTCTCTACCATCCACGATGGGCTACAGCGGTTTATGACCACCGGAAGTCTCATAGAAGAGCGTGGTCGACCGTGATGTAAGACGGCTAGAGACATTTTGTTGGTTTTGCCGTACTACATAACCTTCAATTAACGTCTTCTGTCGTAGGTAGCCAACTTCAAACGGTCAATAATGTAACGTTGAGGTCTAAAACGGTTATCAGAAGGCTTCATGAGAATAGCCTAGTCTCTAACGTCCCTCATCAGGTTCTACTACTGGTGAGGCATCGAGTGAGGCATCACTTGGACCCTTCAACAATGAGGAGCTCTTCTCTTCACCGATGAGAGCCGGTTTGGCTTGTGGCATTCAGATGACCCGGATAGTGGGTGGTGAAGACGTGTAGAAGGCTCTGTTCCATGCATCATGCATGAATCACAACCTTTTCAAAGACTTAAAAGTATAGGGTGAAACCAACGTCCATGCCCGAATTGAATATCATATAGAAAGGATAGTTGACTGCACTAAGGTACATTGAAATGGAAAGTTGCATCTTTACCCGACATTTCAAATCTTCCCTCATCCCGCTCGTGACACTGACTTTATATATCAACCAATACCTTACATAAAGATTAATTCATTGAAAGATGTTATTTGGTCAATTGGACCACGAAATCTAATGAATTATTTGGACCACATCCCCGATCCTAACCAATATATTGTTGAATAACAGCTGGTCGATCACCTTTAAATCATTGATCTTCCACATTCTAAACAGCCATTAGGAAAACCTGTGTTAATTCGGCACATCATTAACAAATTTATTTGTTTTGTTCACAGGCGTTGAGGACGCGGGCGAAAAAGGCACGTGCCGCGAGGCGACCCGAGGCCGAGCTGAAGCCCGGCATAGTTATAGAAAATGTAGCTCAGACGAGGAGGTTGGCCGAGACTACTCTAGTCGCATCTGCGCTGCTTCCAGGGTCGAGTGTAGACGAAGAACGACCAACAAACACAGGCAGTGGAAGTCAGGTGAGGTTCAAATATGCTACATTAATGTAAGTTATGAATTCGTCTCATAGTTATTAATTCACTTAAGTTTCTCAAATTTACTCATTTCTAAATTCAATCATCAAAACTACATTCACAAAGTAAAGATAAACGATCAGCTTGTTCATTAAATTATTGTGAATCAAGTTGATCTTTTATATAGTTTAACATTTATTTCGAAAAAACCCGGTCTAAATATTCTTATATAAATTCACTATTTTTCGTGGTCCGCTTGACCAATTAATTAGGGTTTTTTTAGTTGAGATAAAAAATTCAGTGTCACGAGCAGGATTCGAACCCACGACCTTCGGCTTGATACGCCGCTGCTCTACCACTTGAGCTATCGTGACTTCGATCCACTCGGGCACTAACTTCCCATCTCAACCCCACCTTTTGAAGTTCCCCTCCTTTTTGCCATTTTTCAAATGTCGTGTAATCTATTTGATTCTCGGCGACAAATGAAATGTTCAGGGAGAGCTTTAGTGAAGTATCCTTCATTTTAATTCATTAAATTCACTATTTTTCGTGGTCCGTTTTGGCAATTAATATCATTCAATTAATTAAGGTTTTTAGTTGAGATAATAAGTCAGTGTCACGAGCGGGATTCGAGCTCTCAAGTGGTAGAGTAAGCGGCGTATCAAGCCGAAGGTCATGGGTTCGAATCCCGCTCGTAACACTGACTTTTTTATCTCAACTAAAAACCATAATTAATTGAATTCTTATATAACTTTATCCCCTATTGTACATGCAAATATTACGTCGGTATTTATTGCAAATAAAATTAACAATTTACAAATGCCAGGGAATTAAAATAGCTCTGGGTCCGCAGGTACTTGATATGAGCCTGAGGGGATGAAATTGGGATTAAAAGTGAAAGTACCTTCGGGTGATAGTGGCTCAATACGAATTCCTTTTTGACATGAGTTAAATGACGGGCCGAAGGATGGTTTGCGGGCATGGGGTGGAGATCACTGGCGTTTTCAGGAGTAAATATTAAATCCGTTTATGCCTGTATGCGAAACGGGGGCCTCGCCCCATTACATTCTCGGTGCTTTACATCAACGTCACCCCTCCTCCTATAATAGATCGGGCTCGTTTTCGCTTTTTACTAAAAAGATACTCGGACAAAACAGAGATATGGATATTTCATTATTTATTGACTTTTGTCATAAATATATTAAAAAAACCTCTTGGTTACAAGTTATGAATCTATGCTTTATTTCTACCAACAAATTTGAAATTAAATATTTTTTAAATTATTACCTTTATAAACCTTAAATAATTACCTTAGAAAAAACACAATAAAATAAGACGCATTAAAACACAATACATTACCTGTAGTTAATGATTCTCAACATTAGTGTGCTCCATTTTCAATTTGTTTTATAAAAATGTTTATTAAATTATTATAAAGCCCTATGGATATTTCATTCTCTCAGACAGTTTAGAAATTCTGGTTCTTTGATCTTAATGATAAATTAGTATTATGAAAAGAGAAAATAATGATTATTACCCACGAGTTTCATTCCTTTACTTTACAAATCATCTTGTATATTTTATGAAGAATATTCAAAATTGAGATTTCCCGAACATAAAAGGCTTATTCTTATGATAACAACTGAAGCTAAGTCAATAAAACCATAATGAATCCTCGTTCACTCATTATCAAAATAAAATAATTCCTGTCAAACAGGAGGGCTTAACATCTAACTAGGAATATTACAATACATTGTTCATATTATTATCATCAAAGCCATGGGCTCTGCCGGGATTCGAACCCAGAACCGCTAGCGTGGGAAGAACGGTCACCATTATTCTTCAGCACAAAATTTTGTATCCTTCGAGTAGATATTTAACAAAAAACTGGAGTTTTATTAAAATTAAACTATTTCTATCCGTTGTTTATTGCTTCATCTCAAATTCATATTTAACTGATTGCTACTTGAAAGTAAGTGCTGCAATGATTTTTCGAGGAGTAGAAGTTTTAATCCATGGGGCTAATCTCTTAAATTATTTACCTCCTTCAATATTACCTTCACAGCCTATAATACAAACAATAAATGATATGTTACTGCCTCTTTATATACCATTCAAATTCCAAAGTCACAACTCCTTAAGCTGGAAATCTTCTAGACACTATCTCATAACGCCACAATGCTCCGAAACATCCCTTTGAATGGCATAAGTTTAAAATAAAAATATTCAACTCAATCCTAATTTCCTGCCACATACCCATATATACACATCCTCATTCTTATTCCTTACCATGCCTCCAAGTCACATATAACCCAGCCTTCTTCCAGTGATGGCTTCCGCTCTTCTCATTACTGAAGAAAACAAAATTTTAATGTTGTATATGTTGCCATATCGTTCTTTGAGAATAAAGCGTACTGCTTGAAATCCTTCTTTGACATGACCTAAGCGTTCGACAGGACAGGAATGACAATTTTCTACCTAATGTACTTCTGCTTTAGAATGAGGTGTGGCAAGGATTTCGACAAGATAAAACAGATCCAAGTAGCCATCAAACAAGGGATAATTGCTGGTCCTATCCTGTTAACTATTCATACTGCTGACCAGCAAAACCTATCCCAATTCAAACCTATCAACATATATGACAGTGCTATGAACAAACCCGAGTCCAATGCCAACAGCTCAAGATCATGGAAAAATCATAAATAATAGGAAATAAAAATAGGCTAGTAAAGGAATGAATTTAATTTTCACTAGGGAGTTATAACATTTTATGGGAGTTAAATCGCAAATGTGAAATTGTTTAGAGTAGATTGTGAGAAGCAGAGGCGCCTGTAAACCTCTGTTTACTTTTGGAAAAGGGCTCAGTTTATAATAGAGAGCACTTCTGTCTTTCTAAGCCTCGGCCGAACGGAGAAAACGGCTCTTATCGGGGTGGTGCGGCGGAATTGTTCACACAAGAAAACGTTTCTAGTGCACAACCCTATCACCTTACACTCTGATGATCGCCTTTAACAAACAAAAAACCCATTTCTTTTGTTAACATTTTGTAAACCTTTGTTTGTCAAGTTAAATATAAGTATGTTATTTTCGCAATTTTTTAAAAACAGTTTGTGTTACACGAAAGAGATTTCTTTAAGCGTCAAGACACGAACAAGCTATAAATGCAAAGTAAAAAAGGCCGTGAGTCGGCCAGCATTCTACAAAGCTTGCCTGTTATCTCCTGAAAGCTTTGTCCAGTAAAGATTCCATGGTGGGGAAGAGTGCACTTCAAGGGATGTGTCCCTAAGAGCCGGGTGAGAGAAGGGATCGTCGTTTTATCCATTATCGTCTATTTCCATTATTGGAGTCGAACAAGACCCTTCGTTCCATCCGTAGTCAAGTGGTACACGCGTTACCCCATTAATCGGCCTTTTGTATGCGCGTTAAAGACGAACATAGCATCCAAATTGAAGGCACGTCCCTCTTGACGGCCTGGAAAGCCTTGCTACTTGGAATTAGCATAACTCGGCGTTTTCCGCTTTTGGATCCACGTCGAACCCGGATTCCGATCCGCCGAGGTCGTTAACAATCATTATCGCCGTTTTGTTCTGTCGCACAATTGGGCTTTTACGGTGAACTTAACTGGAACAAATCACGTATAACAACGGACGGGAATGTTTTATTGATAAAATCAACAATTTGACGCTTCACACCCTTTTGAACGAGCAAAACTAATTTGGAATTGTAAGCTAAAACAATAAAACCAGTTTAAATATAAAATACGGACCAACAGTTTCAAAGTAAATGTTAGACTGAAATTTAAATTTCTTCATTAAGCTTTTAATATAACTACTAACTCGATACTATGGTAAAATGGTCGTTTGACAACCTTTACTCTAAGAAAATCACATTTTAGTTTTATGAAAAAAATGGACAAACTCTGTAATCCTGTCAATGTTTGGTGATTAGTGACCTTTAATCGATATTTATTTAGAAATCGTGAGATGCGGTCTGGTATGATGTAGGTTTCAGAAAAACATTTTCTTTATCGTGCCAACATTTCGAACTTTATTGAGATCATCTTCAGGGCTTGGGATTTACAAACATTGTTTACATATAACAATTACATTTTGGATGTGGAAAAGTGAATTTATACAATGCAAAATATATTTTTTATATATTCAATCAAACTATTTCTACTCACTCAAAGTGTTTGTCATCTGTGTGTCAAGAAAAATTGTGCCATTCTTGCGTGTCGTGTCGAGAGTGCCCGTGAGATTTTGCTATTTTGTGTTTATATATCATATATATCATTTATCCAACGCCTATCACATAAATTAAACACATTTCTCTTGTCCGATAACTTCAAAATAGCTTTCAAAAATTATAAAACCATTTTTTCCAAAATTAAAGATCCTACACCAATAACAAATAAATATGACGTAATCTAGAAGATCAACTGTTTAAACTGTCCGGCAACTTACATCGGTCTTCCATCCCAATATCTGGACAAGAGAGAAAAGCAACATATCTATGATTGCAAAAAACAGAAGCAAAATCCTACAGCACTCGCTACCCACCATCTTGAACACCAACACAATTTCGACTTCAAAAATCCAAAAGTATTACACACAGAACAAAACAAACATAAACGTAATTTCTTAGAAATGGCTTATATCAACAGAGATAAACACAGCATCAATTACAGAACAGATATATGTCAACTCAGTCGCAGCTATGCCAATATCATTAATTAAATTCAATACGGATAACATACATATCCGTATTATGTATTCGTCATATGTATTGTCACATTACATTCAACACATCAAATATTTTTCACATAGTCTAATTTCCCAACAATTTAGCTTTCCTTTTCCTATTTTATCCCTTTCTATATAATCCTGAAAGGATAATCTGACCGAACCATAACGAACACATTTTTCCCTTCGTCGGCTCTTTTCACCTCAAAGAAGCCGACGCTTTATACAAAAATTTCTTTTCTATACCAACTTTCTTCCCCACCCCTTCAAAATCCAACAAATATAAACACAAAATAGCAAAATCTCACTGGCAATCTCGAAACAACACGCAAGAATGGCACAATTACACAGAAGACAAACACTTTGAGTGAGTAGAAATACTTTGATTGAATATATAAAAAAATATATTTTGTATTGTATAAATTCACTTTTCCACATCCAGAATGCAATTGTAACATTGTAAACAATGTTTGTAAATCCCAGGCCCTGAAGATGATCTCAATAAAGATCTAAACATTGGCACGATAAAGAAAATGTTTTTCTGAAACCTACATCACACCAGACCGCATCTCACGATTTCTTAATAAAATTCCTGTCAATGCTAACCCTCCTCTCTCCATGTTTAATTCCCAATATGGAAATTAAAACAATTATTGCCGGAATATGAGGGCATTATTTCATTTGATTTCGATTACTTAACTTGACACTTTAGCCAAGGCAATTTTTTTTTATTTTTGTGAATTGGCCAGACCACTTTACAATATGTTTTACATGTTTTCATACCCAATCGGCTTGATTTAATTTAGACCCAGAAACGCTTGAATTTTGGCAAGCCTTGTTCTATTATTTACAGCCTGAACGAAAAAAATATGGTCTGTTTATACTTCAGTTATTTCAGTTTATCATTGAATATAATAATTTCGTTAAAAGTATTTTTTATTAAGAAAAAAAGTGGTTATTTTATTTTTATGTGTCCTATTGCTACCAAAGATTGATGGCAAGTTAAATTGGATGCATTTGAGTGCTGAATTAATGGAAAAAAATATTTAAAAAAGAGTATCTTCTTGGTATCAGTCCACCACTTGTTTTTTAAAGTCCCGACCATTTTACACACAAACTCAAAATACCGAAATTCTGGAATAAAACATAGATTTTTCTTACGAGGGTTTGCAAAAGCAGAGGTCATATCAACCTTCAGAGTGTCGGTGTTTAAATAAAAGCCCATTTGTAATTATGTCAGGTTCGAATGCAGGGCCGCTGGATTCGAACCCGGGTCCTTGCAGGGATGAGCGCCGTGTCAACGCCTAAACCGTTGCGGCCACCGACGCCCCCAATATTGATTATTCCGATCCCAAAACAAGGCAAACCTGTCGATAACCCTCCTTACAACTCATAACATTAATGTACTGTGTACAAAAAACCTATGAAAGAATGATTAAAAGTAGACTCAACTGGTGGGTGGAAATTAATTAATAATAGGATATTATCTCACACTCTTAAAGTTTTCCGTAAAGGCAATCGGTATCGGATGCACATAAAGAACTCGTTTACGGCAATGTAGACCTAAGTAAGTTTGCAGTTGTTTCCTATTAAATCCATTAGAGTTCGTGGTCTGATTGACCAAATAACTTCTTTCAATTAACTAATCTTTATTTGAGGTATTGGTTGAGATAAAAACCAATTTGTTGTTTCTTATTTTGGCTATTATTCTAATTTCATTTCATCATTGAACTTTTTCTTTTAGGAAGGAGTTTTCACATTCGTGTGAGCCTTTTCTCAGATATTTTCCTGTTTTGTTATCAATGCACAAGTATAAATTTAATTAATCAACAATTCCGTTTTAAATGGTTAAGGAGTGGATTGGAATTAGAAAACGAGATACAGGCTCAGCAGAAGTACTTCCTCCACATCTTCAGTCGTATAAACAATCCAGGAACTTATGCAAAAAAATAGAAATGGTGAAATTCTTACCAATTACAAAATTCCGTAAGGCCTAAAGGAGGCAGCAAAAGCGAATAACAAAATGTCAAATCAAGGGATATGTTAGATGGGTCAAAATACTATTGGAGGTCTTATTCATTCTACTACCATGAAAGTTTGGAGTACTGGAAATGATCATGATGGGGTGAGATTGTAGATTAATTTTTGTAAAACGTCCACCAGAACCTCTTTTTCAAAAGCTTCTCGTACTGTCGTTTATTCAATACCATAAAAAAATTATTGTTACCCTACTTGTACGGAATAATTGAAAAATAAGTAGGGTAGTTGTAAACGGCTGATGATTTCCATAGGAGAAATTGAAATGTTAACCAACTTAATTTTACATACTAAAACAAGATTTTCTTTTTGAATAAGCTACAATGTGCGTCATTTTCATGGCAGTAGAACGAACTCAAATATTATTATGACCTATGTAATATAATCCTTGCCTCAAATGTGCACAATTATCAGGATTTGAGATATGACATGATTAAAAGATATGATTGATTTTGAAACCTGAGACTATTACAATAACGATTCACCATACCATCACTTTAAACGTTGAACTACCGATGCCTCCTCATAAATCCTATTGATAATCATTTGTAATGGCATGGCTGATCGGAAAATAAACAGAGGTTATGAAAGGATTGAAAATTCTCATTATTGTGTCTAATTGACTACTGTTCAGCTAGCTCCTTTATACTCACAGAAGAGGTAAAGGCTGTCCATAAAAATGTTATAGTCTTTATAAATCTTCATAAAAGAGAATCTTCTTACAAACGTTGCTAAACGAATAATTGTTGATTGAAATATAAGCGTATTTTGTTTGCAAAATAATAAAGGACTATCGTTAATTAAAATCGTTTAATTTAGTCATTTCTCAATATTTTTCAAGTTTGTTAAAAGTACGAAATTTTTAAAACAGACGGTAATACCCTTCTTTTCTACTTCAGTATTAAATTTTCTGTTTTTCTTTTAACTCATATACGCATAAGCAGAAATAATAAAAAACAAAAGTATGTAAAAACTAGATAATACTTAAATTTAAATATATTTTTAGCTAAAAGGACTTAGACTTCGGACGAAATGCACGTTGGTAACATCAAATGTGTACATTCCAATATATATTTAGGAAACTAGCAGGAAATTTATTACCGTAAATGTTGGAACTCTCAGAGATAAATCATCTATTCTGTTAAAGCTTCCGAAGGAACTAACAAATTGGCCCAACTAAATCACACCGCCGAGTTAAGTATTAGAAAGAAATATTGCAGTTTAAAAACTACGTTGACATGACTTTCTGCTTCTGTGTATAAAACAAGCTAAACTTTCTCACTCTTGTTTTTCAAGTGATATTTTAGTGTGTTTTGGCTTCAAGGGCTTACAAGTTCTGCTACTCAACAAGTTCATTTAGCTAGGATCAACCTGGAAGGTCATAAACCTCTTGGGCTGTCTCATCTTTGGTCTCTTGTTTTATCTTATTTAGTGCGTTTACATTTCAAGAAACTTTTAGGTGTTTCTCATAAAAGCCGTGTGATGTTTACCTTTGTCTCTATTTTCCTTCCTACCTTGACATCGGCGAATTATATTGTTTCCTTCGTACTTCATTGCTTGTGTGTGTGGAGAGGATTTTATTGCAATAATTTTTTTATGTTCACTAAAGTTTCGTAAGATATTTACTTATTTTCATCTTTCTGAATGGAATACTATTTTTTATGTTTATACAAGGTAAACTTGTAAATATTACTGATAGATAGTACAAAAATGGAATACTTAATTTCGTACCTGAAATGTCTAATATACATCTCAAAGAAATAACTACTGCAGGAAAATAGAATAACAACATAAGTAGTGGTACTATGAAAAATGTTAAGTGAATTTTATTCTTCGTACGTCTTTTTCCTAAAGAACTGTATAGTGTCATTATTTGACTTATATAAGAGTGAAAAATACTTTGTTGGCGAAAATTGAAGGGGAGCAGCGGGAATCTGTTGCCCAGCACTGATAACTTCTGTGTTGTGCATGGGGTTAGAAAAGAATTTTCACTTAGGATGAGCATCAAGGATTTTATTTAAATACTTGTATAATGTTTCTGATAATGCTATCGAGATGGAACTGTTTTATTTTAAACACTGACAATATAAATAAAACATGCAGGATATTTCTCGGTTTTTAATTGCTGATTGAACTGGATTTAATGACTTCCCAGCACCACATCGCAGTTGTCTATTTATTATTTAATATCGTAATATTTTTTTATGATTTTGCCATTTTATTAGTTTTTTGGGAGTAAATTAATGAACAATTGTTTTCACGGTTTAAATGATTAATGATTGACTAATTCCAATTGATGTTTTAGCTGAATTATTGTTTTGAAGACTCGTCTGTTGGCTTTTCGATATGCCAGGATTCAAACATGCAAGCCATATACGCCATGCTGGTATGTAAATATTGACACCGATTTGAACCCGTGTGATAAAAAACCTATCCTATAGATCTTGAAATATTTCATGTCCGAATATCATCCTGTTCTTGTACCTTGCCAAAAAGTAAATATGGTCAAACAAATATCCCTAAATAAAATTGTGTAAAATTGTACTATATTAAAAAATATGTGAATGAAATGGACTACTATTCTAGTTCAATCCCTTATGAAATTATGTTACATCGAGTGTTTTCATTGTCTTAATCCTGAACCTTTTTTCGAATCGCCGACCTTAACTAAGGTTTAAGCAACGGACGTCCCCAGCCAATTATGCAGATGCTTAGGGTAGCTGGCCCGTAGTCATTTTTGGAATGCAAATGCTTTCTCCTTTATTCCCAATTCTTTCTAACTGCCCCTACACCCTGTCACCCCTTTTTCATCAAGTGGGTGTCATTTCCATTCGATCTGGACGGTTATTTATTTTCTCCTTGGAATTTTATTAAGCACAACGGTACTTCTTATCTTTAAAAAGGACAAATTTCTATTCAAACCATTCATCCATTTTTCAAGCATGTTTTCGTGTAAATATTAATTTTTGTCGAATATCTGTGCCCCTTATTCTTTTCAAGTCTTGTTTAAGTAATATGTGATAAACTTGTTCCTTATATGTGTATGTTTTGATTACAATTATTGATGTATTTTATTGCAATGTCCGTTATATTTCCGTTAAATAGTATGATTTAGCCACAAATATTTTACTAGAATTTGTTTTGTTATGTTCAAATTGTTCACATAATGTATAATTTCTGTTAAATTAAACACGAGAATAATCAAAATTAAAATTTGTACTTGTTTATGTCAAGTTTAAATCTCCAACCATCAATATATATGTATATATGTATACATATATAAACCCTCATGTGGGCTCATGGGGCGAGGTCGGCCCTCTGCGTGTTTTCATTCATTTTCTGGACTTTCACGCGAATTTTTTTATGTAAATTACAGCCATTTGATAGTCTTGATCTGCTTACAAACATTCTGTTTTATCTTACACTACATCGATATCCTAATGTGCTAGCCTTTCGCATGTACTTCATGTTGTCAACTAAATAATAATAATAGGCAAGATGGAATGTCTGTAGAGCTTTTATGAAAGAAATTAAGCCAGTTGTACATGGCCAACTGAGGAACTTGAGAGAAAAGAACTTGTGATTCTCTCTAGATTGCGAATAGGTCACATCCGGCTAATCCATAATAGACTTTTAATAGGCAACTATCTTCCAACTTGTCCTCGATGTATGCGAAGTGGAGAACGTATCTCCTGTCAGTAAAACATATTTTGGTTGACTGTCGCACTTTGCAACCCTTTAGGCAAAGGCTCGACCTTTCGAGTGATTTACAGGAGTTACTGGGTCCCCATTGTTCCTTATGAAGTGCACTTTTCAGCTTTCTCAAATTTATTGGAAATTATAATGAGATTTAGGCCTTTTCCCAAATCGCTATACCATTGAATGTTTGCTTGCTAATGTTTGAACGAGAGTTGTGCGTGCAAGATTTCTTTCTTTTTTCAGAAATTTTTCAGGCTGCCGGAGCGGAAAAATTAAATGGAAGAAAATAAAAATTGCGGTGTAATAAACTGCAATGCCCCAAAATTGTTATTTAAATAAGAAAGTTAGCTTAAAAAAAAGTGTTATTGTGATATTGTGATCATATTTGAATGGAAGAATAAAAGAATAAGTGTGAGCCTACACTGTTGCTAGTCTGACTCCATTATTATTATTATTAGCCATACAAGGCTATGGGAAATGTTAAATTATCGAACAAAAATTCAAAATTCTAATAAAAAACAGGAATACATTTTATATGTAATTTAAAATGGGATTTTGAATACTTTTAGCGTTTCAAATGAAGAATTTTAAAAGGATAAATTCAAACTTTGGATGGCAATAGGATAAATTAGTTTATGAGTGAATGTTTGGAGTCAGAGCTTTATAATATATATATATATATTTAGAAATCGTGATATGCGGTGTGGTGTGATGTAGGTTTCAGAAAAACATTTTCTTTATCGTGCCAATGTTTAGATCTTTATTGAGATCATCTTCAGGACCTGGGATTTACAAACATTGTTTACATATAACAATTACATTTTCGATGTGGGAAAGTGAATTTATACAATGCAAAATATATTTTTTATATACTCAATCAAAGTATTTCTACTCACTCAAAGTGTTTGTCTTCTGTGTAATTGTGTCATTCTTGCGTGTCGTGTCGAGAGTGCCAGTGAGATTTTGCTATTTTGTGTTTATATACGTTGGATTTTGATGGGGTGGGGAAGGATGTCGGTATAGAAAAGTCATTTTTGTATAAGGCGTCGGCTTCTTTGAGGTGAAAAGAGCCGACGAAGGGAAAAAAATGTATTGGTAATGGTTCGGCCAGATTATCCTTTCAGGATTATATGGAAAGGGATAAATAGGAAAAGGAAAGCTAAATTGTTGGAAAATTAGACTATGTGAAAAATATTTGATGTGTGGAATGTAATGTGATGATATAGGTATGTTATATGTTTTGAATTTGATTAATGATATTGGCGTAGCTGCGACTGAGTTTACATGTATCTGTTCTGTAATTGATGCTGTGTTTATCTCTGTTGATATAAACCATCTCTAAGAAATTACGTTTATGTTTGTTTTGTTCTGTGTGTAATCCAGATTTATTACAAAAATTTTAAAGTTGAAAACATACTATTGTGATTCTAAACTACCATTTCCAAATCTAGAGACAAGAAAATTACAGAAATTGTACTCCATTTAATATACGTTTTAGTGATGTACATTTTTTTAACTTACTTTTTTCAAAGACTTAGAAATTGATGGAGAAAAGGAAAAAAACAGTGGCTGACGTATTGGTAAGGTGGAAAATTAAAAAAAAAACATCTTAAGGTAATTTTGAATGAATTTATTTTATGTACGTTTTTTTAATTTGGGTTCGAAACCGAAAAGTGCAAGTGTTCACATATTTACAAACACCCATACAAAATTTAATTAAAGCATTATCGCATTTCTATTCTCCGGAATATAAAAGTTTTAAGATTCAAAATTTTTTTAGTTCTCCGTGGCTACTTTTCTCTGAAGAATATGCTATATGTTCAGGTTTGCGGGTTTAGTGCGATGGCACTGCGTCGAAAATACATTGCGGAGGATGTAGAGCATTTCATATCAAAATTAAAACACGTTTAAAAAATCCATTCAAAATTTCCTTAAGTTTTTTATCTTTTATTATTTTTAATCTTTCTGTCAGCCACGGTTTTTTCGTTTCGTGCATCAATTTCTTCATCTTTGAAACAAGTAATTAAAAAAGAAATTAAACCGCTAAAATGTATATTAAATTCTTTGTAAATTCTACGATATTGCTAATAATAAAAATAATATACAAAATGAAAACATATTTCGCAGTTTTTTAAAGATCTGTTTAATTGGTTATAATATATACATAATATATACATGTAATTATTATTTTTGACTTAGATTTAGAGACCTCATGTGCAAGGTTTCTGCAAGTTGGTCTGTATTTTCTGTAGTTAATTAATTTAGTTCTAAAAAACCTTCTGACCCAACTTAGTTTTGACAGGCGAGCACTTTTAGGGTAAGCCCGGCGTTCTCGGTTACAGGCCGTCTGTAGCTGGTTTTAAATGAATGTTATTGTAGAACCGAATCTGAAAGTTTAACCAGGCTAAGAGCGCCTTTACGGCCCCACAAAGACCTTTACGATTGTTGTTACCGCTTTTGTCCCGTGATTACGCAGCCAGGTCGGAAAGTTTATAAAACAGAATCTCTTCATATATTTTTCAGGATGAGGAAGAGGAAGGAGAGCGATCCCCCGGCTTCGAGGAATGCCATGTCATCTCCAATGACAAAAGCACCGAATTTATTTTGGCCACTGTGGAAGAAGAGAGTGGAGGGTGAGTAGAATTTAAATTTATTCAATATATAAATACGAATCCCTTATGTCACACATTATTTTATGCAAAATAAGATTAGTATATAGCAGTTTCTTTACATTGGAAATTTTAATTTATTTTCTTACAATGAGAAGTAATTAATAGTACGTTTTAAATATGGATATTTATCTATAATATTTTTGTATCCAAACAATATAACGCAGAAAGATCACAAACCTTCCAGGCAAACTTCGTGATTGAAATGGCCATTACGATATGTCCTATCATCCTATCATCAGAAACCCTTAGAATTTTTACGAATAAAATCGACTGATCAGAACCAACTAAACATAGTTTCTATTATTAATATCATTATTTTTTACGTCAGTATAAAACATTGAATTTTGTACATTTGTATGGATAAAGCATGAAGATTGAGTTGCACAGGATGGCTATAAAACTATAAAAACCCTACTACCAAACATTACCCCGATAGCATTTTAAAAATAGATTACAGGAGTTCATTAACTGGCCGAGACCTGTAAAATACAGTTAATTTCTGCTTCCATCTGCGTTGGTCAAAACCGCAGTATCCTGGATAATGGAAAACGGCGCATTACCCATCAAAAGCGAGACTGTTAAAAATATTCCCCTATTCCTGATTAGCATCCGCAGAAGATATCTCTGGCCTTTAGGCTCATATATTTTTATAGCTTAAGTTTAGGATAAAGTGTGGAAAACTCGGAAAATCCCCTTATTTGTTAAACTAATCTACTTTTTTACATTTCGTGCCCCACCTCCTGATACAGCAATAAATAAAGTGCCGGCTCGCAGAAAAGGGGTGAATCGGCATTAATAGATTTCCCATTCCTATTTCCGAGAAAGAGAATTGCAAAAACACTGAGTCGCTGATAACTTTTATTTTCAACATATAAATTGCTAATTTAGAGGGGTTGTGAACCAACATATTTTTATTATAAAAAAACCTTGTACACAATTAATCCAAACACGTTCACAATTTAATTATTTCCACTGTTCTGCCAAATTATATTCTTTATAATAGGATAATTTTTCAATTATTTTTTTCAAAAGAAATTCTCAATATTGATCTTAATAGAACAAAATAATCCAATAAGCAAAGTTCTGCTTGAAATTAGACAGAATTGATGGTTTTTAGCTGTTCTAAAAAGGTACAGTAGATGAATAGTTCTTCCAAAAATTTCACCTAGATTAAACGAGAATCTAATTTTTATGAAAAAGTGTAGATAACAAATAGAATATTTTTTCCTGTGACTAGTTTGATTTTTATAAAAATGTCTTTCTGTTTTCTTGGTTATATCATCTTATAAAATCCCATTTTTGTGGCATCGACTTCATGTACAATTTACTTGACCTATTATACTTTAGTTTTTGATGGTGTCCATCTTGATTTTGTTGAATTTCATCATGAGATAATGGGTATTATAAAAAGGATCTAATTTCCATGAAAAAGTTTAGATAAAGAATATATTTTTTCGTCTGACTAGTTTGATTTTTCTAAAAATTTCTTTCTATTTTCTTGGTGTTATATATTCCTTTAAAATCCATTTTTGTGGCATCGACTTCGCGTACGGTCAACTTGACCTAGTGTACTTTACGTTTTTGATGGTGTTCATCCTGATTTTGTTGAACTTCATCATAAGATAATGGGAAGGAAATAAGTAGGTCCTATTGTGAAAAAGACAATTTATTTCCTAACCATCATCTTAATATACTTTAGAACCACATAGCAAACCAACCTGTACATAGATAAATAAACAATTAAAGCATAGAAGGGAAAAAACACATACACAGACCGAAATTATTAATAAAATACATAATCTAGTTGACGACCTACATATGTACATAATGATGGAGTGAGAGATATGGTGTGTGTGTGTGTGTGTGTGTGTGTGTGTGTGTGTGTGTGTGTGTGTGTGTGTGTGAAAAGAAAATTGTTGAGTAAACGATTTATTATGACAAAATAAAGTATAATGTACGGTCTTAATAAATTTTACTGTAAGCAATAGAAAAATCCTTTAACGCTAATGAGTATGCCTACTTTATAATTTTTTTTAAATTGTTCCATAACCGATGAAAGAAATGTCAAAATATTCTCCTTAGAATCTGGTAAATCTTCAGAAATCACTTCACGCGTCCGTGCTTGAATTATGAGCACCGAGTACTTTGGAATTAAAGCCATTAGAACATAACAGCAGGTGGTTTATCCTTAATAGAGGAAACGATCCGCAAAACCCTCTTCAGGAATTATAGGTGTACCGTTCCAATTAGGTGTGGAAGTAAGTCAAAGTCCCCACATAAGTAAGTCCCACTCGTTACTCCTAAGCCAAAGGCTGCACTAATGAACGAAATAATTTATTCGCCCGAATACCATTTACCTTATCTTAAATTCGATTTCAAACGAAGGAAGGCGCTGTGCAATGATGTAATGACAGGGAGAACTTTTCACCAAATTTGGACCGAAATTCGTTTTTTATACAATCCGTAATACATCGGTAATTTTCACGTATGGTCTCAAAAAATAAACAGAAACAGGATGTGGGTGTTTGAAAATTTGTAAAATAATAGGAAAAAGCTGAATTATTTTCTAAATTTTTGAAATAGGTACGTTTTTCTCTCTCTCCTAGAAATAAAAATTTTAATTTTAGTTTATAGCAACAACGGTAGTAATCATCTTTTAGAATAACTACTGCAATCCAACTAAAAAAAAAAATTTAGTTATATAATCTTTTTCGTTCGTTAACTCACATACATATATTCGGGCAGCATGTACTAATTAGCTTTTTATTTTTTTATAGATTGTTAACTTTTTAGTGCGCTATACTGTTCCCAAAATTGGAACAAAAATTAGAAAAGAAATTCAAATCCATTTTTTATAGTTTATTTGATGGTAATTTTCTTAAATGAAACATTAATTATAATTGCTGTAGTAGTTAAAAAAAATTAAACTTTATTTTTTCGCATACAATTTACTTTCAGACATTACAATTATTTTTCAATGTCTTACTAAATAAAAACCATTAGATTTTTGTTTATCGAATAGTAGCTTAAATGTTAATTTGAAGATTCCTCAAGTAAATTTGATTGTATAAAAAATGTCACCATTTGAAAATCGGTCCATAAAAATATTAGATATATATGGACCGATCTAGTTTTTTCAAATACCACTCAACCAAGAAAAAAGTTTAACCATTATTATTTGTTCACATTAACAATGTAATGATTACAGATTTTTTAATTGTTTAAAAAAAGTTTAAACAATGAAATTTCTTTCTTCGACAGTAAACATACATTTTTATTTCGAATCAATACGATTTTAAACAAATGGCAAAAACCATTTAAATATTCGTTAAGAAAAACGTTATATGTTGTAAAAATAACACAGTAAATCAAAAATCGCAAAAGAAACTTCACCATGGGTTTTAAGATAAAAATTACTTTTGCTCAGATTTTTATTACGATAAACACAATGTCATAACAATTTATTACTTTTATAAAAATATTTATGACAATTCCGGTAAATATAGATAATCGATAGAAAAATAATCCAAAAATACTACAACTATATTTTTAATTCATAATTTCCCTTACATATTACTCAAACATTTGCAACACAGTTACCTAATAATTATTGTTATAAATCTTTGTATACATGTTGCATATATATACATCACATCTCTTTTTGCATAAAATCAAATAAGCGGTTTCATTTAAGTTGATTGATCATATTTTATAACATCAAATTAATTATTGAAACTCTTTAGATTATTTAGAAAAATATTGGCGTTTTTTAGTACCTGATTGTTAAAGGTGTTATATTTCAATAATTCTTATTAATAATAATAATAATTTAATAATTCTTTAACTTCCATCTTAATAATTATTTGTACAAGTATATGAGAACTTGAGCTTAGATAATATTACGAGCAATATACCAAACCAAAATGTGTAAACAAAGAACAACATCATATTGTGGACAGGTGAAGTCGGATACTAAAACTATCCTTGTCTTAAGGGGATTTACAACATCCGTAATTTTCACGTATGGTCTCAAGAAAATACACTTTGGCCACTCGGTACCAATGTTCTCAGTGAATGTGTCGGTAGTAGTCGTAAGACAAACCTGCAATACAACCCATTGTGTTATGTCCATGGGTTTTCTCAATATTCTAGAGCGAGATTTAGGCACGAAAAAGGATCATAATACTCCAGAGTTGATTTTGGTGCCCGCTTTCATTCCCTAGCCTCATACTTGGTGCTTTTGTCATGTAGTTGAGTTTTTCTTTCTCAAGCCAGCACCAACCCTCCATTAAGCCTAAGTAAGTCCAGTTCCATAGATGAAAATTGGTTAGTTGGTCAGCAACTAACTCACGTCTCACCTCATCCGAAATGATTTTGGAGTACCAACGATCGCAGTAGCAAGCTTTGAGAAGTCTAAGAACGAAAATAAATTTATATTGAACAACGAAAATCTAATACCAATGATGTTTCCTTCATTAGAATTTTCATATTAATACTAATTTTAATTATTTTTATCAGCTTATGCTTAATTATATAATTACTCAAATTAAAATGATCAAAAACACACAATTTTTTTGAACTGAAAAATTTGAGTCACAGGCGGGATTCGAAACCATCTAAGATCACAACTGTGAAACGTACACAGTCCCGCTAATGTAGCATAATCGTTAATAAAAAGTGTTTCTATATGAAGCCGCGATTTGCTTAAATTGAAATGAAACAGTGAGTCGAAATGGGAAATTTGTGGCATGGGCTATCGAAGTCATGGTAGCTCAATTGGTAGAGCAGCGGCGAATTAAGCCGAAAGTCGTGGGTTCGAATCCCGCCTGTGACATAAATTTTCATTTCGAAAAAATTCTGTATAATTAATTGAATAATTAGAATTTTTCTAACGAATCTGTCATACATCAATGTATATTATTAGATTTATGTAAATTGTAAATGACGCATTTTAATGAAAA